GCAACCTCTGGGTCTCCCTGGCAACTACTGCGGGCTCTCGCCTGGCAACTCTCGGGCTCTCGCCTAGGCAAACTCTGGCTCCTCGCCTGGCAACTCTCGGCTCTCGCCTGGGAACTCTCGGCTCTCGCCTAGCAACTCTCCGGCTCTCGCCTGGCAACTCTCGCTGCGCGCCTGGCAACTCTCGGCTCTCGCCTGGCAACTCTCGGCTCTCGCCTGGCAACTCTCGGCTCTCGCCTAGCAACTCTCGGCTCTCGCCTGGCAACTCTCGGCTCTTTCACTTCATCTCTAATACTCCGGAATCGCGGCTTGTGGGAGAATCCCTTTAAACGAAATAGTTTAGTGAGAATATATTAAGATGTGTTTGGCTGCCACTAGCACTGAGCTTTAGAAGTGTACCTTTATGTGACTTTTCTTTTAGTGCCGCTCAACTAAAATTACCAATGGAGTACCTTTTGGTAAAATGGTAAAATAGATTATGTAAATTTTAATGACGAAGAGTTCAAATACTTACGGGTTTAAAAAAAGAGGCGTGATGCGTTTAATCCTTCCCTACCACCATTCCCTCTACTCTGGGGAAATACACTGAAGTATGAGAATCACTTATCATCCACCCGTTGTCCCGTGTCGTCTTCGTGTCCCTGACGTCTTTAACCAATAACCATCGTCATCAGTATGGTCATCATTTTAACATTTGTAAATTTGGTCGGACGAAAACAAACTCCGGTAAATGATATGTGTTTATTTAGTAGATAAAATAGTAAAAACAATATCTAAACAGAATCATAAAGTATTATAGAATCTCTGAGTCAGGCGAATTGGAGGGTAAAGGTGGTCTTATTTTTCAGAGCATTATATTACAGTATCAATTAGATCTTTCGGTAATCTTAGTTATAATAAAAAACACTGATAGTAATTTCAGTAATGGTGAAATATTAATAAATTTTAAAAATTTGTTTCTAATCTTGTTACATACACATCCGCAGAATAAAGAGAAGTTATCAAAAAGTAAAAATTATCTAAGAATGTTTTTATAAAAGGAAAGGGAAGAGGGGAGGAAGGGGCAAGGGGAAATGTAACGGTAGATCGGGGGTACACACATTTTTAAATGCTCCGTAGCAATGGATAAGAATGCTTTTTAAAATCAATGTTTCTTTTCTATTGTACGGGACGTAATAGTATTGTCAACGGGGGTTGAAGAGAGAGCCTCCTCTCGAGGTCCATTGTGGCCGGGCCCGCGCCAGCGCCGTCATTTGCGTGACAAACACGCAGCGGCCGCCGGGGAAGTCCCGCGCCAGATGCGCCGCGCCGCGCCACGCGTCACCCCACGCGTCACCCCACCCACGCGCCGCGCCCTGCACTCCATTCCGCCGACTCCTAATGGGCCACGTCATTAACCAGCAGCTGACATTACCCCACCACCATCATCATCATCCAAATCATTATGGTCTTCAGACTAAATGAGTGCGCATTAAATTGTTTATTGTGTTATTTATGGCACTTTTCGATACGTACGCAGACGTTCGTGGTGTGGAGGGCGGTAGTGGTCATTGTTTGAAATTCTCATTAGGTATGCATGTTTGGCGGTGTTTCCGCCAGAGTGGATGTTGTTTTGGCATAGTTGGAATTTCTTGGATATCCGCCTTTTTTCATTTTAATGTTTAAAAGTAGAGAAACAACTTTTCAAAGCATTTAAAGACATTTTTCCGTTTCCGGTCCGCATTTAAAAATGTTTGTACCTCCGATCTATTACATTTTCCCTTGCTCTTTCCTGTCATCTTTCCTTTCCTTTTATTTCCTTCCATTTCTCTTCCCCTGCCTCTTTACCTTTCCCTTCCCCATCCTACCCTACGTGCTTCAATTAGCACCATGCCCACTCTAGAGAGAAGTGGAGATGGTTTAAGATTCAATACATGCGCTGAAACAATAATACTCGCAAACTATAGACTTACTTATGCTTACATTGGTAGTATGAAATCATCCTGATATTTAAACATTCTTTCTATTCTTACTCTGCTATTTTTTGTCATATTCTTGCAGAACTTTGATGATGTGGTGTTGGAGCTCAAGTATAAGAGAAGATTTTTTTTCCCCCGGGAAATTGCGAAACGAAGAATGTTGATTTTGATATGTAGAGTTTCTGATGACTTTGCGTTCCCCTGTAGAGCCTAGAGTTAAATTTATTGAAAACTCGCATATCATACCCACAATTTAGGTCAGTATGCATTAAACCACATTACAAATAAAGGAAAAAATATTTCAAATCATGTAGACATATTGATGTCTTTCACACTGATACCTCATTCTTTCCAAATTGATTTTTTACATATTAACAAATAATTAGATAGGGATACTGGTATTTTTAACATAGCTGCTTAAAATATTGAAACTAGTGCTTCACGGCTACTATTAAACAGATCTTAGTACAGTCGCCAAGCCACCAAGAGTAGATACTAAAAATAAGCATTAGAATTGATAGTAGCATGGGAGTCAGGGAACTTCACCCTTTGATTATGAATATGTATTTTGTCATTGGTTAGTAGATAAGTTATTTTTTATTATGTTCGTTAATTTTAAACGTCGAGACAATTCTCATAGTTCATGCAAATTAAAACGTGAAAAATTGGTATTGCCATTAACATCAGATAAGAAAACGATATAAAAGCAAATATCGATGAAAAAATTCATCTGCCTTGAAAGCATTGTAAGAGCTCAGATGAAATTGCATCAGTTATTTCAATGAGTGAAATAATCTAGGTAATAAACATCTATCCAAGATACACCCTAAAATGTCACTAGCACATACATTGCCAAATTGAAAAATCAAACCCAAAATTAACTTGCGATTTTTCCCGAAATTGGTTTCTACATCCAATGAACAGGACGATGAATTGAACAAACGTTTGTGCAATGCACACTCGACATACGTCAACCGCAATTTTATTACGCGGAGAAAGCCATACTGATTTCATTTAATTGCATCTCCCACATCCGCATTCGCTCTGCAACCGTATACGTTCCATTGTCGCGGGAATGCGTTTGGAAATTAATTATCTTCTACGCCGACACGCAGCGCTGTCGGATTGCGCGGCTGGAACTACGTCATAAGTACGATCGATTGGACCGGACATATCGACGGCGGTGGCGAGCGGGGGAGGGGACAGCGTGGGCGGAGCTGGCTGCGAGCCAGGGTGACTGGCACACGCGGCGCTGTCAACACGGCTTCCTCTCGAACCAGAAAAACAACTGAAACGAGATGTTTGTGATCTTATTATAGACGTCGAGATTTCTCGCGAAATTAATTTATGATCCTCAAGAGAAAGTAAACGAAAACCGTTTGGCGAGTATATTTATATGATGACAGTCTCAGAGTTCGTACATTGGTTACAAACGTATGACAAACAAATGTATTTTCAGTGTGCCCTTTATTGTTTGATGTACGTTGAAACAGTATTCTCTTAATTTTTATTTTAACTTTTAAATTCGTGTTTAGGAGATACCTTGATGGAACTTCAGATACACGGCTTGAGTTGGTGATGTTTATACGAGTCCCCATAATAACCTATTTTTCTATTCTCACTGCCTGACGTCTGTTCCCTTGTGATGGAGTCCATCTTGTCACCATCCGAGTTCCGTATTAAACAACAATGAATACTCGTATAAATCTATTAGAAAAACTTGAAATACTCTAATTGTATGTAGACCCATTTGAGTTTCACTATACGCCAACGAGAACTCTTCTCTACAGATAAAAAAGTATAACCAAAATAATCTGAAACAATGCAGATCCTGTATCAACATCGTTCAACGTGTTCACAAAAATACGTATTAGTCAAGTTAATTTAGAACTAAACATATATATGTAAGAAAGAAGATAGAAAACGCCAAAAATGCTGTGACATTCTCTACTTAAAATTTCTGAAGTAAAATGATGAACACAACGCTTTGCGTAGAGGATATTTACAAACGTCCGACTATAATATTTATCTTAATCGCACAGAGAAAACATTATTTCTCCAGTTTGTATCACTGTGTATTTTCTAATTCATAATTCTAGCGTGTGTCAGTAAAAGGTGCTTAAATATTGCGAGTCACTATAAAATTCGCATCCAATTACATTACATAAATGGAACGAAATAGGACTCTTCTTACGAAAAATATTTTCGAAGATCGTTTCGTATTACTACAACAAGAACCATATCTTTAAGATTTTGTTACTAAATAATACTGTATAATTTGTCTATTTTGAATCGAGATTTTCGAATACATAATTTTCTTGTCTAGGTAATACCTGCATCAACGTTTGTGCGAAAATTATTACTTTACTAACCACTTCAGGTTGTATTAATTCTAGTTCTCGGCCTTAAAATATTGTCTCTCAATTGATAATGTTAACTGTTGCATCTGGATTCTTTGAGTTTAACCCAAACATGTTTTAGCTAAACCAATCACAGTACCTGTAATCATCCGCGATAATGGCTTTTCATACATTGAATTAAATTACATTAGATCATTGACTATTTAAAAAAAATTATAAACAGTTATCAGAACTACGTGCTGAAGTGTTTGGAGATCGCAATAAAACAATTAACTATTACGCTGTTCATTCAATAAAATGAAATTGACCTAAAATGTATTTTGTATTTTTGTCAGGTTAATATCTAATTAAATGGATATATTTCACAACCATGCTTTGGATCTTTCACAATGTTACTCCATTATCAGAATATGTAGCAGATATTTTGTCCAAGGAAAATAAATGTTTTTGTGTAGACAATTCATATATCAAAATATCATCTGAAATGCTAATTTTGCGATTTGTGTTTACTACAAGCAAACTTCACACAGTCAAGGAACTCTTATGCCAGATATACTTTTATCTTGTGAAAAAAGCATTATGTACGTGAATGCGGTTTTATACCAATGCGTTTTCCAACGAGTGTAATTATTTTTGTTGCAAATTCATCAATCTCTTAACAAATTGTTTGTTTTGTGTGTTGCAGGCTGCCTCTTCAGCGCGCGGGTGTGTGATGAAAGCACCGAATGGTGTTATGACGGTAAGTTGGCGACACTGATTAATTCAGGCTCTATAGAAATAAGAGGCTTAATTTAAGAAGGAGACCATAAATCATCTCATCCCGAAGACTGCCCGACCTGACGGCACCTCTCACGGTGTGAGTTTTTTAAACAAACCACGGGAGTGATCCTCTTCTTTTCTCTCTCCATCCCTTAATACATTTTTCTCTTTTTTTCGTTCCTTTCACCACGGTCTTTGCAAGCCCGTTTCTGATTCGGCAAGTCATTGTGTTGTATGCGAGTACAGAGCATGAATGTTCAAGATAATTATTAAAACGTCTTATTTTCTTAATGTTTAAATTTAATGAAATCATATACCCAACTGAACATTTTATTCGCAATTCGTCTGTAAGAGCTCCGTGTCTTTTTTTAAATTTTTAAGTTACTAAATTATCTGATCCCATTTAGTTTTCAAACCTCTGTCATAACCTTGATCACACATTTATTAACAACAACGTACGTTTTCTAAATGGATTTCATAGAAAAACATTTCTCTTGACGATCATTAAATGGCATGTTTAAGCAAAATAGAATTGCGTACACTAAATTCTACAAATATGAATCCGTAAGATCTATACTTATGACAAATTAAGGGTACAGCGCGCCAAGAAAATCTCTCCGTAGTGACGCCTTGCTGGTGAGAGTGCTAGCAACATAAATTACGATGGTTGCACGACCTGCAGCTTTTAGAAAGTCAACTGCGCACTCACCACACTCTTAACAGATGCTGGAAGTGTCGTCCCCTTCACTTTTTCCCCAGAGATCTGGTTGCTACCAACATCAATGCAATTTTTATTACGAGACACTGACTCTGTTCAGTGAGGAGACACTTTTCTGGCGCACTATAGGTTCATTGTACGTACTTCTTATTATTAGTAATTAGATCGGCTGAGTTAAGCTCAGAGCCAGTAAAGCCTAGCCTTCCAGTCCTGACGGTGTCGGATTTTAAACTCTAGTTAGACAGTAAGGTAGAATTCAGCCGCTGTCTGGAGGAGAATTTTGGCGGTCGACTGTTCTGATCGGTAGATTACATCAAACTGACCACTGACCGCGCGCTATCTTTCCTTCCACTTACATCCACCGTACAACTACACATGTCATGGGTCCGGTCGGGAGTTTACAACTTATCGTGGGTAGGGTGGTGCCCCGCTGGAGAAGATACATGGAGAGTATGTAAGTCCCCGTATGCCGTCGTGTAAGCCGGCATTGAATCTCACATTCTCGTGGGAGAGAAATACTGCCGCCTCACGATATAAAGCACTAATTTCACGAACGGGACAGATGACCTTAACAGATGTATTGCCAAAAAAACAAAAAATTAAATAGTAATTACTTACTTCGGAAACTCGTCGAATAAGACATAAAAGTACACATGTATCCAATTACTTGTTTTATGAATTAGCGCATACAATAAAAAAGCAAATGTAGACATACTATATCGTAAAATATTTCAAAATTAATATCAAACAATATTAATAAGGTCGATCGGATACACTACTAATCCTTGATTAAGAAAAGGAAGATGAAGAACAGTTCGAGATATGTCATCAATTAAAATGCGAACCAATCATTGAGTTCTTTACGGAATGAAATAAAAAAACTTCCTCGTTTTGAGAAGTGCTTCTAACAATATTCATATTCTATGTATTAATACCACAATCAACATGAATACAAACATTTAGAGGTCGCGTAGTATAATATAATTGGTAAAAGACCAGAGGTTCAACATAGAGATGTAATTAATGGCAAAGACACAAGCATCCCGTTCATACAAGCAAATTCATTGAAATTTAGATGTCTCTTACTCTCTTTTATCTATTTTTACGTATACAGCTTGCTAAATTTCAAAAAGTGAAACAAGTGACCTACAATTAAATTGATAAACTGATTGATAAAAACTGGGCTTCGGAAAAACAGGATGCTGTTTACACTTTGCTGAAGAAAACAAAATCGATTAAAAATGATCATCAAGTGCAGCACCTTTGCGTTCTCTATTTTAAACACATTTCACCATGTAAGTGGATGCACCATAATAAAATTTTTAGTGATAATAAGAGTGCTACAGCTTAGAAAATATCAGGAACGTAAAATAATTCCCAGGGTAATCTGGTCAATAATAATTTATTTAGATATATGTGTCTGATTTATTGGTTAATTATTTTAGAGTTCATTTTCTCGATAACGTACTAAGAGTATCTAAATATTTGTATCTTGTGAATACTAATCGGTTACATTACTGATATCACGAACATCTTTAGGATTCTGAACCTCTCAACAAAACGGTATGTGATCCAATAGATGAGACGCAACCCGCAATATTGATCTGCTGAGCGGATTGCAGGTCGGACACTTTTCGTAACCCTTATATTTCGAACGATGAGGAGTTCCATACTTCCTGGCCGACAGAAAGCTCTAGGACTTCTGCCTGCCTGGCTGCCTGGCTGTCTGGTTGTCTGGTTGTCTGGTTGTCTGGTTGTCTGGTTGTCTGGTTGTCTGGCTGTCTGGCTGTCTGGCTGTCTGGCTGTCTGGCTGTCTGGCTGTCTGGCTGTCTGCCTGTCTGCCTGTCTGCCTGTATTGGCACAACACCTTATAGTTTTAGGCCTACAAGCGGCGTCCCGACCTTGCAGCAATGGGTTAAGATGGTATGTGTGATAAGCACATAGGCATCCCTTCGCCGTATTCTGGTCATCTCACCTGAAAGCGAATTGTCTCATCGTCACACGGCAACAGATACTGTCACATTGCAAGGAGAGCGCACTCCATAATATGTTCTGATCAAGATTCGTTATTTCCTTCCACTGGACTTCCACTGGATAGTGCGCAGTATGCAAATTGGTAATTTTCATCGGAAGGAGTGTTGAAAACTCCGGGCGAGACCGGATGCAATGCGACGAACTGGCGACTAAGACAATGGTTATCATCGCTTATGCAATACCGATTAAATATATTCTAATGAATAGACCTCTCTGTTTTATTTTCCAATTACCTTGCTTAGTATTTCTTAATTTGAAAATGTAACAATTATAAATTCGGCGCCTAGATATGGATTAATTGTCATTGTCACCCAACAGACCGTTTTCCTAATGGCTAGCTATTCAAACACAGGATAGAGACTGTTTCAGGCTTTCCACACATTAATTCGCATTCTGATGATAGAGTGATCATAAAGGGGCAAGTGATACTTATGTGACATAAATGATTATGGATGAATGTGATTATATTGTGTTTCTGGGAACGTCAACTACATTTCTCATTAGTCTTGTAAGTGCACCACATGCTGTAGTAGGGAGGTGGTGGGTTTTGTTCCCGCTGAAAACTAAAATCCGGCACCGAACCACACGTTGCTTGCAGGTTTCCCTCCAGGTATCTCTCTCGTAGGAACACTGGGGAGCTGGAGCAATTTCTAGGCTCTGATGGTGTAGAACATGTGTGTGTATATGTGTATGGGGAGAGGATAAGGTAGGGAAATAAGGACGACATTCATTTAGTGAAACTACGTAAAACTACCGACTAGATGCGCCGAACACTCGAATACCCGTCAGTCAGTAACTGAATTTGACGTAGCTATGTAGCTAGTTTCAAAAATTGACCACTGCCAGGACGCGAACCCTAGATCTTCCCGATCAATGTCATCGACAACGACAAACGATGTGATGGTGAGAGAAGCCAATCACACCCAAATCACATGTAATAAAACACATTCCATAAACGGTACTTGAACCTACAGACGTCGACTCTGCTTTCAAAACTATTGCTACAGGACTGTGCTACCGAGACATGCAAGTTTTCGAATAAAAATCTACAAAAAAATTAGCTAAACGACAATTGACATGTTTTTTATGTAAACATTTAATTTTGTGTTGTATATCTGATGAAAATTTTTAATAAAATCTTCTGTTAGTTTCCAAAATAATAACTATATTAATTTCATAAACCAATTTTATATGTAAATAGGGTAGAGTAAAGGGATACACAGTAAAGAAGGAAAGATGTATACACTCATACTTACCAACGATTCTACTTTTAAGTATCTAAATGATTTCTAAACGGATATTCTATGAATATTTATTTTTTTCCTCTATTGCTTTTATCTTCCCGTACACTTGTATTACTCTCCCGCCGGTCTGTGACTGAAACTTCTCATGCACCTCTCACCAATTTTGCCGCCTGTAACGTATCCTAGTAATTCGATAAATCCCCTAAATCACGCTTATATTTATATAATCCTGGTAAGCCCGTTGTATGATGATGCTAAGCACGGATTAGTAGGATGCAGCATTGTCAAACGGTACACATCTGACAGCTCAGCGTCGCAATACCTAGTTACAGGGGAAGGAGAGACACTAGGGAAACGGCCTCACCGGAATAGCCCGTGCTTAGTCCCAAGCCGTTGCGCTCCAGGGCAGGCCATTAAGAATTGGGTGAGGTCTAAGGGAAACACGAAGCTCACCATGCCACAAACAAACAGGTAAACACCGAGGCCCGAGGCGGAAATCGATTCTGCAACCCTTGCTCTGACCCGACAGAGGCGCGCCCGCGTCTACAATCTCGATTATCCAAATCGACTACAAGGGAAAATGCAATTACAGATGAATAAGGGGTTTGACATTGCCTATACGTATGTTGCGATGAACGCCTGTTAGAGGTATTGTCATATTATATTTATCAAACGGGAAAAATGTAATGCTGTCTATATACCGTATGAGTCGGTCCCATTTTATCAGCTTAATAATAATATTCTGTCGGAGAGTGATTATATAATAATAATAATAATAATAATAATAATAATAATAATAATATAATAATATAATAATATAATAATATAATAATATAATAATATAATAATATAATAATATAATAATAATAATAATAATAATAATAATAATAATAATAATAATAATATATTAACTGCTTTGGGAAAGATCCCGGTGGCAGCTGTCCATCAGTACATCAAGGAATACATTTAAATTTCATGTAAGTT